TAAACAAAATAATCACTAACTATGTTCACGAGGATCAAAGTGGCTTTATGCCAGGTCGGACAATAACAGATAGTATTCGCAAAAAGCTTAATGTAATAAATTTTTGCAATCAAAATAAGATACAATTCCTCATCCTATCAACAGATGCTGAAAAAGCTTTTGACAGGGTGGAGCCTGGATATTTACTGGAACTTCTTAGAGTAATGAATTTCGGCCCATTATTTCAACAAACTATTCGAACCTTTTATCAATCCCCTGCAGCTCAAATTTGTGTTAACCACTTTCGTTCTAAAGACATTTATTTGACAAGAGGTACCAGGCAGGGCTGCCCCTTGTCTCCCTTGTTGTTTGCTATATCAATTGAACCACTGGCCCACGCAATCAGAACTGATGTAAACATACATGGAATACAATTAAACACAGAACAAATTAAATTAAATTTATATGCTGATGATGCAATATTTTATTTAACACAACCAGAAATTTCTTTGAAAAACCTAACTGTTCACTTACAAAACATTGGTACTATTTCTAGATTTGCAGTTAATTATAAAAAATCAGAAATTTATCCAATTCATATCACAGCATCTGAGAGATCATTGTTGAAGTCGAAATTTAATTTTAATTGGGTAACTAAAACATGGAAACACCTAGGTATAAATATTCCAATAAACTTAAATGACTTATATGTTTCAAACTATACTCCCCTGGTGGCACAAACAAAACTATCTCTACAAGATTGGAACAAACACCACTTAAACCTGATGGAAAAAATTAATTTAATTAAAGCAGTACTGCTTCCTAAATTCCTATATTTTTTCAAAATTTACCAATTCCAATCCCGAAAAAAGACATCTTAGCATGGAGAAACATGTTGACCAAATTTATCTGGAATGGGAAAAAAGCCAGAATAAATTATGTTACACTAACCAAACCCCAAAATTTAGGGGGATTAGGACTACCAGACCTGGAAAAATACTTTATTGCATCACATTTTAAGAATATTCACTATTACTCTCTAACTTCATGTACAAAAAAATGGGTCCATATAGAACAATTAGAAATCAAACCTAAACACTTAAGTGAATTAATTTGGAACATACCTAAGCAGCAGGAGGTAACGAAATTACATAATCCCTTTTTAAAGCATACCTTGCAAACTTGGAAGAGAATTAACATCATTTGAATTATTTTTGAAACAACAAAGACAAGAGACGAAATCACTATTAGCTAAAATTTACCATTTATTAAGTACAAAAATATGGTCACAATCCACCTCAATTCAAAAAGCTTGGCAAAAAGATTGCGGAATACAACTTACAGATTCACAATGGAATCACATTTGGTCCTCAGGTGTGTGCTCTAGTAGACATTTAAACTTAAGACTCCAACATTTTAAATTACATGCAAGGTGGTACCTTACACCTAACCGATTATTCAAAAGTGGGTTTAAGCAAACGCCACAGTGTTGGAAAGGATGTGGGGAAGTAGGAGATTTAAAACATTGTTGGTGGGCGTGCCCCAGAGTACAAGAATATTGGTGTAAAATCTTGAACGAATTAAAACTTATTACAGGTCATGAGATACCGAACACTCCAGAATCACTCTTATTGCACTATTGGGGCTTGAAGACAACTAAACAAATGATAGACATTATTTCAATTTTTTTGATGGCGGCCAAAATATTATTGGCACAGAAATGGAAAACACAAAGACTTCCAACGTTAACTCAATGGAAAGCAAAAATCTGGGATCTAATTGTAACAGACAAAATTGCAATGCAACTGATTGCACAAGACAATCCAAAGAACTCAAATAACTTTATGGAGAAGTGGTTTCGTTTTTTTGACTACATAAAGAGTTGCCAACCTCATACCTTTAGCTTGCCACACAAATATAAAGACTTTGCATTCTTATGACACTGTTAGTTACTTAATTTGTTTGTTAAATATTGAAATGTTTGTTGATTTGTATTGTTAATTGAAAATTATAATAAAAAGTTATTTGCAAAAAAAAAAATTCCTTACTTTAAATCTCATACTTTAGCCAAACATTAATTTGTAAATTTCACGTATTATTATATATTTCTTTTGCAAATATACAGAAATAAAGTTTTGTATATCCTAAAAAAAGTCTCATGCCTGTTGTTTTATTTTTTGTATCCTTCCATCCATTTATAAAATCTTGACCGTGTTTGAATTTTGACCAAATTTTCCTTCAATTCCTCTATTTATATCCTCTGCTTTCAGTTCTTCAGCCAGTAGCTTGACTTGTTCTTCTGTTTCGATTACTTTCCCTCCTTTTGGTTAATATACCTCTATTACAGATGGCATTTTTCAGCAGTATTTTATTTATTTTGCAAAATCTGTCTCAGAAAGTCAAAATCTTTCCTCTTCTTTAATACACTTGGTTAATCCTGAAAGTTTGCACTTCTTTCTCTTTGCTTCTTTAATATTGCATCTTGTGTTCTCTTATGAGTGAAACGAACCAATATATCTTGGGGCAACTTATTCTTGAATGCAGATCTTGAATTCACTCTATGTAGCTGATCAATGTCAGAAAAATTTCATTGTATCTTCAAATAATTTTGAAGCAGCTTGCAAAAGCTCTCTTCCAAATTTGGCCTCCCAAAGTCCTCTGAGATGCCTTTAAAATGTAGGATATTAGATCTGCATTGGGTTTCCAAAACTTCAATTTTTTGTTCTGCTTTCTTAATCCAGCTATTTTGTCTTTCTATGTATATATCATTGTCTTTTCCCTTAAGTTCTTCTATATGCTCTTGAAATCTTACATTAATTTCTGACAGTTCACCCAATAATTCTTGACACACTTCTTGGATATTCTTCTGGGTTCTTTCCTCAGATTCTCTAATGTTTCTCTGGATACTCTGAATATTTTCCTGAGTTCTTTCCTCAAATTGTTGCATTTGATGCATAGCTTTTCCACCAGTTCTTCAATTCTTTGGTCTTCATCTGCTTCTTCTACTTTCCTTTTGTCTTTTTGATGTGTTCCAGGTACCATTATTCTTTTTGTTCTTCTCTTACTAAAACTATTATACAAACTTTCCATATACTATTTCCATATAGTTTTTTCCTATGCAAGTTGGCAAATATACTTTTTTCAATGCAAATATTGGAATTTACAACTATCACATTTATATCTGTTATAATAGGGAGAAATGTTATCTTAAATCCTTGTGTGGGGAATTATTCATAGTAAATAATAAACATTCTACGTAGGAATAGATGAGATGAGGGATGTAACTTATTTCCTTATTATCATTTCACAAACATAGTTATGTCACCAACAGAACAGTTTATAATGTATTAAAATTTGGTTTTAGTAAGAAAGGGAAGGAGGGAGAGAGATAAGAGAAGGGGGAGTGGGAAGGGAGGGGAAATGAGAAAACTGGGGAAACAAACAACAGAAAGAAAGAATAAAAAGAGAAAAAAGAAAAAAGGGGGTTGCATTATGTATTAAGTATTATAAACAATTATATTGTGGGAGTAAAAAGATGAAAACGCATAAGAAAAGAAGGAAGAAAAAAATCTTAGATTTATTGACTCTTAAAAATCTATATTAATCTGTTATAATTCACCCAAAGAAGGCAAAGGAATAAAAAAAATGGAGGGGGGGGAGCTTGCCCAGAACCTGTGCTTTTGTTTCCTAAACCTGTGTTGATTCATCTGTGGTTCCCATTGTCAGAAGGAGAAATATTGTAAAAGATTAGTCCAGAGTCTAAAGTCTTCTCATTATTTTAATTTGTAGCAGAGTATCAAGTATAGTACTCTGGTAGATAATATATCTTCCAATTAGGCCACCTAATTGGCAAATCTGCCAATCTGTGCCAGTCTGTATTTTTATTGCTGCATCACAGCAGAGAAGAGCACTGACCTTTTTAAATAAACTTTTTTCTTCAAAGGAAAAAAAATGAGGAAGGGGGAAAAGAAATGGCCAATTGTATAGTCCGTAGAAAGGATATTCCACTAGTATAAACAATAATAAAAAGTTCATTCAGGATGAAAATGCAGATAGCAGCTGGATCAGGCCTCCCCGGCTGAATCAGGCCTCTATATCTGCTCTGTTTTATGTTAGAGCTTTCTTGAGGGGAGATGTTAAATTAAGCACAGTTTATTTACTTCCCTGAGAAAAATCTCATAAATCTCTTCTCGGTTCTCTGTAATTTGTAATTCGTTAAGTATGGAAGATGGCTAATGGACTACGAACAGGCTTTGGCAGTTGTACAGACCTGTTGTTCAAATGGGGCAAAATACCAGGACCTGAATGTGATTGTGGTGCAGCCTGCCACAAGAATGTGAGTGTTGTGCTTTCCAGGGAGATGTGATGGAGCTCTTTGGACTCTCCCCAGCTGCGACTGAGTGGACTAAAAATCTAGATATTAGTATTTAGGAGGATTGCCCAATCAGTCTGCATACCCATTGTATCAACTCAGTTACATATTTTATATTATTGTATATTTCCTGTGTATAATTGTGCCATACAATAAATAAATAAATAATCAGTAAATTTTCAAAAGCCCTCTTACCAGTGAGATGCAATGGTGCTGGCAGTCTGCCAATCTTACAAAATGAATAACAGTTCCAGAGCAGGTCTTTGAGGGCTAGCCAAAATTTCACAAATTTGTAATAAGAGGGGGGGGGAGTAAGAGTAGAAGTAAATGGGAGGTCGGTCTTGAGGGCAAGTGCCACTTATTCTTCACTGATCTTGGTGTTATCAGAACCCAAGTGGAGCCTGTATAAATCAGACACCCCCACCCCATGGATTCATCTGTCAATTGGATCTCCCTCACAGGGGAAGAGGTGGGAATAGAGGAATAAATTCTCTCCATCCTCAGCAAGATAAGTCTGGAGCGTTTAGAAACACTCCTGTTCAGGCTGCCATTTCCCTGGAAGTCATTAGTCTCATATTTTTTAAATGCTGCTTTTTTAATGCATGCTTTTTCTCAAGCAACTTTTTGTTCCATGTTAATTTGTCTGCAGGGATGTGCAATCCTCGCAATTACAGTGACACACCTCCAACTTCCAAGAGTACTGTTGAAGAGCTGCATGAGCCAATCCCTTCCCTCTTTCGGGCACTCACAGAAGGTGACACACAGTTGAACTGGAACATTGTTTCCTTCCCTGTTACAGAAGAATTATCGCATCATGAAAACTTAGTCTCGTTTCTAGAAACAGTGAATCATCCTCAACATCAAAATGTCTCTGTTCCAAACAACAACGTCCACATATACTCCAATGACAAAGGTAATGCTATTGAAGTTACATTTGTAAATTTATGCCTTTGTGATTTACATGTGGGTCTTTTAAAAGTGTGATCTCTGTTCCAGAGTTTTAGGATATTGTAGCCGAGATCCTGGCGGTGGTCACACACACTGCATAATCCACTTTCTGTGCACTTCCCAACTGGATTTTACTGTGTGAACTGGCAAAATCCAGTTGGAAAGTGCACTGAAAGTGGATTATGCAGCGTGTGTGATGGCAGCCTATAGTGTGACAAATAGGGAACCAAAATTAACAAAAAGGAGACAGAAACTATACCAAAAAGAAGGATTTCACTGTTTCATTATTCCATGTGAGATAACTTCTTTTTTAACATTATATCAGAAATTGATGAACACACTTGGAAAAACAATTTCCCTCACACTGAATTTGGCATTTAGGTGTTATTTTTAAAAATCCTTTCCTGAGAGGAAGTACCACTGGACAAAATGGGACATACTCAGAATTCTACTCAGGTCTATTCAGTGGGACTTAAGATGGCACTGTCAGTTTCCTTTGTAATCCATTGTGCAATGATTGAAGGCTTCCCTTGAGAGACAACCCTGATGCCAGGAAAGGGGGGGAAATCACTTTGATCTTTGGCTTATCCTGTATTACTTGGGAGCTCAACATGTTTTAATTACTGAACTATACATTGTTTGTATTGTAATTTTATAGGATTAGGTGACAAATGGTACTGAACATTTCTCCCATACAATTCACATTCTTACAATATCTAAACAATTTTTAAGATTCTCCTTTACATAGAATGTTTCCAAATTTAAAAAAAACCAAACATACATTCTCTTTTTAAAATAAGAACTATGCTCCATTTTCTGTCGGCTAATTAAAATGTTAATTATTCTTTGTGTTGCTCTCAGACTGTTAGCCCTTTTATGTCATTGATAAACTGAATCCTAATTGCTTCAGACACATTCCATTTTTATATCAATGTTGAACTTTGACCTAGTTATGTTTCTCAGCAAGAGTACTCTTCATTAAATGAAACTCAGAAGTTGGGCTTTTCTAGTTTCCTTTGGATAAGGTAACTAAATTAATTCCAGATCCTCAAATGCATGTTCAGAAATGTTTTATGTCTGCATGGTATTACCTAAATACTCTCTGGCAGGGAGAGACAGAAAGGAAGCCAAGGCATTTCCATCTTTACAATGGAACTTCCTTCATGTCTTTCTCCCCTGTGGGGAGCCTTGTAGGATACTAGTATGAGGTTTCTGTGACTTAAATGAAGCCTGGAGCCTTGAAGAGACTCCTTCTCAGCATCATGAGGCACTCATAATACCTTCTTTCTTTGCCCTTGTTCAGTCAGAGCAGAGACAGTCAACTGAAGGACTGGGAATAGTATCAGGTCTGTAGCATGACTTTGCCTAAACTTTGAAACCAGCAAGGTTTGGAGCATATATAGAAAAATATAGACAAGGTGATGATGCATAATGCTGTGATACAAGAAGACAAACTGTAGATGGTGCACAATAATTGTACTGCTGCACAGTCTTTGAGGCAGTGGGGTGGAGCCACAAAGGGGATTCTTTGAATTCACTGTGTGGGGAAAACAACTGAGTTGTAATAATGTTGTTTGAATGACCTATAGGTAACCTTTGCTCAGTAAACTAAAGGCTGTTTCCCACTTTCTTCATTTAGAACGCATGTGTACAGTGGTTTACTTTGATGACTGCATGTCAGTACATCAGTGCAAGATCTCTTGCGAATCTATGGGTGCATCGAAATACCGATGGTTTCATAATGCCTGCTGTGAATGTATTGGACCAGAGTGTATCGACTATGGCAGCAAAACTGTAAGATGCATGAACTGCATGTTTTGAAGCAGAAAAGTTGACTCATAATATGGACACTAAAGTTTTTATAGTGAAACAGATTGAACTTGTTAGTATTGTTTGATAATGTAATAACAAGCACAGTGACTAGAGAAGATGTATACAATTTTAAACATTTAATTCCCCCCCCCCCAATCATATGAACAGTATTACTTGGTAAATGTTTAATTTTTTTAATTGGATACTCACCCATATGCTTATATATTTAGACTGTTTTGCTTTGATCTGAATATATTGAATATATTGACTAATTTGCATATTGTAATCTTGTTGATTAGAGGATCATGAAGCTGTAAAGAAACTGCAACCAGCTCTTTTAAGTGCATTTCTCTAATTATTTAGGCTTATCATGTTTTGAACTGTTCAGATTTGTACTCATATGTAGCTTACTGCTACAGACCTCATGGATTACTGTTAAGAAATGTGCTAAACAACTTCACAACTAAAGAAAACATGTCCAGATATTGCTCTTGATTGCAAGAATGAAAGAAAACTGATACTGCCTTTGGTGTCAAGATTTCCCCTCTCCTTATGGATGTTCTTCTCTGTATCAAAGCAAATTTAATGTTTAATTATGTCTGGTATCTTTTTTTCTTACTTTTCATTCTAGGCTACAGTGAGGCTATAATAATAATAATAATCTTTCGATTTATTGATCGTTCAATCCTTGCAGAGCTGCCGGCTCTGAGCAGTTTACAGTTACTCATGTGTTGACACGGGACTAACAATGATGGGGGTAAGGGAGGACAACATATATCATTTTTAATCACACACACTTCGCAGTCGACAGGGAGTTTGGTCAGCTGTAAGCATCAGACGTGTTCCGGCAGCATTCTTTAGTCGGCATCGCTTGATGTCGTCAGCATCTTTCTCAGTCGCAGCGCACCACTGCCACCGTCTGGCTGGAATGGCCCATTGCAGGCTTTTTCTTTGATGCTGCGTAGATCTCTCTCGGCTTTTGATCTTATGAGCGGACCTTCCGTTTGTCGGCTAACACTTCCCACCGGGGGGGTTAAGTTATGAACCAAAAAGAGGACATGCATTTATTGGGAATTAAATTGTGGGTCACAGTGAATTTAGAAGCTACTGATGTATAAGAAGCAGAAATAGGTTCCAAGTTCAAATATATGTATGGCTTACTAAATAAATGGTTGGTGCTGTCAGGCTGACAACCTCAATCATAGGATTGGGGGGAGGGTGGGACACTTCTACTACTACCAAAAGGTTAATGTGTTGTCATACCTCACAGCACCACCTGTTTGGCAAAGGAGATCCACTCATGTACTGGTGTGTGTGTAGCCCATACTACCATCCTAATTTGAGCTGCATCTTCTAAGTCCACTGAAGTTAATGGGCTTAGAAGGGCACAGCTCTGCTTACGATGGCACTGTAACTCTGTAAATTTGGCTATGCTTGCAGTGTCATCTAAAGCAATTACTGAATTGGGACCCTGTTGTTTTTGGGGTACAGTAGCTAAAAGGAAAGAATGACAGTTCTAATTAAATCATTTCATACCTAGTGCTGCCCTAAAAAAATTTTGGTCTCCTTGTTGTTGAAGTTTGAATTCAAGAGTAATTACCAAACAAGGTTTACAATTATTTCATGTACTTTTTGCAGTAGGCTAAGAGAAATAGATTATCTGGAATGTGAACCCCTGTGGTATTTTGACCTTAGAGCTATTATGCAGACCAAAGACTGGATTTCCAAAGTTAGATGGAAATGTTACAGTTCATTAGAGGAAGAATTTATGCTTGACATTTTCTCCTGCCTTCGAATGTTTATATTCCAAGTTTTACAAATAAATGATCAGCAACCTATTCTATTCTCTTTTTGGCCCTCTTCAATAAGAAAAATAGGAAGATAACTTTGGACAAAACTATCTGTAGACACACATGAGTAATATACTGATCTTTCAACTGTACATTTTTCTGTCTTTGATTATTTTAAACTTTTACAATGTTGCTGTAAATATGTTAACTCAGCCATAGGTTTCACTAAGTTGAATAGGACTTCGTCTTTAGCAAGTGTGTTAAGCGTTGTAGTAGAATAGTTTTCTCTATAACAAAGAAGGCTAGCAATCATTTCTTCTTTTAGTCCTTTTTGTTCTTAGTTACTGCTTGAAAGAAAGAGAAGTAAACTAGTTATGAAATTTGGTACATTGGCACTGCAGTAATAGCTCCTTTTAAGATGGCAAACTCATTCAACAAAACTCATCTGATAGCTTTGCAGCTATTAAAAATCTTTGTACGAGGATATTTCTCCTTTACATTATTTTATACTAGTGGCAATGATTTTCTTGCTTGGGAATCTGCTACCATAGATCATGCTAATAGCATAAAGAACAGTACACAAGAGGTTAAGATTTGAGAATTTTTTTAAAACGGTCTTGAAATGTTAATTATTTTAAAATTCATAATACTGACAGAAATACTGTACTGTGAGCTCAGTGTATATATAGTTCAATGATCTACAGCACTATTAAATATATTTTCTTAGACTATATGTTTACTTGATAAGGTATTTTAATAAATAACATACCACAGAGATTTGTGGTTTTCTTTTTCACCGTATTCTCAGATTCACTTCAGATTTTGCTAATTCAGATTCACTAATGGTCTCTTTCCTTCTAAGAGAATTTATTAATAAAACAAAGAAAGCTTCCAAAGCCTCACTTTTATTAAATCCTTTAGGTTGGATCCTGTTTGAATTCCTTGCAGCTAAAATTGCTTCCTCCCTTGTGCGTATAGATCTTTTTAATGAGATCCAACCCTTTGTTTCAATATGGGTGGAAATACTAGATTACTTAACAGTGGGGGTATACTATCACCCACCTGATCAAACCCTTGAGGTTGATCTGATCTTGAGATGGAGAAAGAAATAAGGGAGGTGACTAAAGCGGATAATATTATTATACTGGGAGACTTCAACTACCCTCACATTAACTTGATAAACATGTGCCTGAGTCATGCTGTAGAAATGAGATTTCTAGATATCATAAATGACTGCACTGTAACAACTGGTCACAGAGCCAACCAGAAGGGTAGTGATCTTGGAATTGGTTCTAAGCGGGTCTCAAAACCTGTTGAGAGATGTAGAGGTTGTTACACCAATTGGGAACAGTGACCACAATGCTATTAAGTTCAGCATTCAGGTCAATGGAAAATTACCCCTAAAGTCCAAAATGTAACATTTGATTTCAAAAGAGGTAATGTTACAAAAATGAGGGGAGTAGTAAAAAGGAAGATGAAAGGGAAACACAAAGGATTCAAATCCCTAGAGGATGCTTGGAAGCTATTTAAAACCACAGTAATTCAAGCCCAGCATAATTATATTTAGCTACAAGATTTTGTTATTGTGGAGAATGGTCCTTGGGAACCTCCCTCTTCATAGGCCAGTAGGATTAATTAGTTAGTTAAACTTTTACCACTTGGCTGCCTTATGGCAGAGGAAGGGACATAAGAAAAGGGAACTACTGTTGGAGTTTATCCATCCATTTGATTTCGTGGGATGACGTTGGCTACACTCTACATTGAAATGACAAACTGCGGACTGTGACAGAATTAATTCCTGTCCTCTTCAACTTGATAACAGAGACATTTCAAGAACTTAGAGAGTTATAGTTTGCACTACAAGTTGCAAGTCTTGTAACTTGGACTTCGATGCTACCAGTTAAATGGTTGGGGTTTTTTTTGCCATTGCGTGTGATTCTCAAATGTCTTCTGCTTTTCATAGATCCCTAAAGATTCAAGTGATTTTATTGAATTAAACATGGCAGTATTTTTTTACTTGTGTGTCAGATTTATTTTGCTGAGTCCACATTAACAAACCCCGAAGTCTCTTAGACCAGACAAGTGGCTTGCAAGGTTTCTCACTGACATCATGAGAACAGGAAGACTCCCAGAGGAATTCAAGAAAGCAAAGATAGTTGCTATTCTGAAACCTGGAAAACCAAAACATCTGGCGGAAAATTACAGACACATTTCCCTTTTGAGCTCCTGTTATAAACTCCCCAAGAGGCTACTCCTGAACAGAATCAGTGACAGAATTAACAAACATGTCCCTATAGAGCAAGCAGGATTTAGACCCTATCGTAGTTGTGAAGTCCAGGTTCTCAGCTTAGAACTTTCACTGAGGGAGAGTATCAGAAGTGTCTTAAGATATCAGCAGTTTTCGTCAATATGACTGCCACTTATGACACAGTCTGGAGGGATGGTTTGTTGTACAAGTTTCCCTGCAGAACATTATTTCAACTCCTAAATAACATGCTAATTGATAGAACTTTCCAAGTAATTATGGGTCAGTCAATCAGCAAGCATAAGAAACTGAATAATGGTTTACCCCAGGGCTTGGTCCTCACTCCAATTCTTTTCAATCTATACATCTCTGATGTTTCCAAGACAATATCCAGGAAGTTTCCTAATGCCAATGACATAGTGATTGCAGTAAGGCACAAATCAATTGAAAGGACTGTGGAAATACTCACCAGGGAACTCGAAATTTTGGCTGACTACTATCGTAAATGGCGGCTTACCCCAAGTCCAGGAAACACAGAATGCTCCTGTTTCCATCTCAATAACAATCTTGCCAAACATGAACTGAATGTCTACTTTAATGGCACCCGACTTACACAGAACCATACACCTAAGTACCTTGGAATTACCCTGGACAGGACTTTGAGCTGTAAACACCATCTTACCAATGTAGCAGTGAAAATATGCATGTGAAATAACTTCCCCCCAAAATTATGTGGTACAACTTGGGGTGTGCCTCCAACAACACTTAGATGCTCAGCTTTGGGGTGTTGGATCCCCAAGCATCGAGAATAAATCCACGTTTCAAAGAAAGTAAAGTTTATTTCAAAGCATTGGAAAGATACTCAAACACGTTCTTTGTTAGAACTGAACACAAGCAGTTAGGGCAGACATGATAAAGGGATTCAAGTTAGAAACACAACCAATGGATAACGTTCCCGCTGGCGGGCAGGAGAAAACGGTTGCCTGCTCAAGTCTTGGGAACCAGGCGAACGGTAGACAAAACACAGGTGCAGTTCACAGGCTTGGTGCAGTTCACAGGCTTGATAAGTAAGAAGCTAACAGCGAAGCATACTCTCCCCCTCACATCCTCCAG